GGGGGGGGGGGGGAAAAAAGTAAAAAACAATTGGTTGCCCAATCCCACGAGCAATTTTTATTTGTTTTTTCGCCCCCCCCCTCCCGGGGAGGAGCCCGGCAAGCCCAGTTGCTGGAGATTGAGGATTCATTGAGATTGGAGGTCTTGGAGATAAGATCCCCCTCATAGAGGTGATGATCTGATGATGTATGATGTGATGTCCTGAACTTGCTGATAGATGATGGTTGATGGACTTCTGTGTGGGAATATGTGGGAATCATGAGAGCTAGCAGCTAGTATTTTTGCAAAAGCTTGATGAGAGATCTGACAGATCAGAGCCATGCCAATTGGATCATTGCCTATCAGAACATGGAGAAGGAATGGGGGATTCAAGCTCTATGTGATGAGGGTGAATACCTATACTGTATGGTCTCAATGGTGGAGTGTGGAAGAGTGTCTTGATTTGGAGATGGGCATATAGCTAGAGAGCATAGGTAAATGGAACTTCCAATGTGGATGAAATGAGATGAGATGAGATGAAGCATTGGGTGCATCAAACAGCTGGCATTGGGGTTGTGGCTGTATGTATGCAATTTCATTTGAGACCAAAGGCGGCTGCATAGACGCAACACCTGGGCATGAGAGATTGGGATCCTGACTTTGAGCAACTTGTATTGCTATACAAGCCATGGAGCAAATGCCCCAGGCAGCAGCGCAATATGGATGGTGCTTCGATTGGGTTTGTTTGGCCTCCAAGAGCACATGGGCACCATATGAGAGGGAAACTTGCTAGGCAATCAATGAGGATGGGGTCCATGGAATGCCTGGTGCAAATGGGTTTGTGTGCATGGTTAGGTGGCCCAATGGAAGATCAGAATCATTTGGGTACAACATTGGTTGATCCTCACGATTCATGCTATTGGTGGAGCATATTTTTGGCACAATTTATTGGTTTACTTTTGGGTGGGTGTTGGTGAGGTCCAATGAGGTTTTGAGCTTGGGTGGCATCACGAGAAAGAATGTCCTTGGCAATGTTGGGTGAACATTGGGAGCATGCTGAGAAGGTTTTTTGGAAGATTTCGTCGTAGATGGGGGGATATGGAGCATAGACCTGGTGAGAACAGTGGAGATGAGCAGGATTGGTCTAATCGAACTTGTGGGATAGGATGTGAACCCCCAATGCTCGCAGAATGGTTCCCTCTGACCCTGAGAATGAGGATGAGGCATATTATGGGTATGGGCGTCAAGAAGGCCATGCAAAGCCCAATTCCAATCAGTCATCCAGGTCCAGTGCTACTAAGCAAGTTTCTCAACCTTTGTTGGGCCTGGTGGGCACATTGTGCTTTAAGATATTGATCTTGTCTCCATTTCATAAAGAATGTGGAGGGAGAAGCCCATTTCATAAAGAATGTGGAGGGAGAAGCCCAAAAAGTGCTACCTTTGCAACAATGAAAATGCTTATGGGCAAGGAAGGGTAGAGTCGGATCCAGAGGTTGTTTAAAAAAAGAAAAGTTGGTTTGCTTGGGAAACAGGAGCACAAGAACATATCCAGACCGCAACCGTGAAAACTCTTTCAAAGCATGACAAAATCTAAGAAAAACACAACAAAAGCGCGTAAAAACCACACCCGCGTAACTTCGAGCTCTCTTTACTTACTATTTGTGACCGAAGCACTCCCTCTCCGACTTGGTTCTCTATACAGAGGAGGGCCTTTGTGGACCACGAACTGCTCCGTTCGAAATGGAAGTGATCGGGTGGTTGGTCTTTCGTCGTCCCGGTGGGGAACAGTCTGTCCGGATGGGGACGGCTTCCGTCTCTTTAAGGGCTGTCATGGAGCGACCATCCATTGGGGGTTTCCAAAGAGGGCCTCCTCCGCGATGGACCTCCGCGACGGACTGCTCTGCAGGGTTCGCCCAAGCTGGACTTCAGGTGCGACTGCTCTGCAGGTGACCTCTTCTGGTGAGATTTTCGTGGCGGGTCATAGCAAAGGTGCATTGGATGGGAACGCCAACCTGGGGGATGCAGATCTCTTTGCGACCTGGGATGCAGATTCCGAATCGACGGTTTTGGATTGTGGGTGGTATGTTGCTGGAAGTTATATAGGTTTTTTGATCTATTTGGGTTGGAGATGCCCAAGTTTATTTTTTCCCTTCTAGTTGTCCACATCGAACATCGGGGTCGCCTCGGCCCGTTTTCCATAAGTATGGCTTTGTGATATTGCCGCTTCCCGGTGTTTGGTGACACATGGACCGGCAAAGCTTCAAAATCACGCATAGAGAATCCTATTGCTGTACAGAATTGATCCATGAATATCCATCAGATGTGGGGGCATGGAGATGCAGCCTAGTGAGCCAGCCGAGTCACCGCTGGCTGGCAGTCTAGAGAGCGATCAGGCAGCCAGCCACTAAGAAGATCTGGCAGAATCCCCATCTGCCCCATGCAGACCCGCAGTGCAAGAAAGATCAACTCATGACTCGTACATTGCTCGACCAGTTCTCTTCATGACTCGAAGAAAGAGGCGTGAAAGAAGACATGTCAGTCGTAAAGAATGAAGGGCTGCTATCAAATTTTGTTGGCTCAAACGCGTTCCCGGATAAAGCCCCCACGGTGAATCCCTGGTACAACTCATCCAAAAAGACATGGTCTGAGACTCGTTTGGTGTGACTGCTGGACGTTCTGACGTCCCAGGTGATGAAGCTGGATCCCTCCGGTGCATGGCAGTGGACCCTGCAGCGTGGCTCGACCGAGCTCGACGAGGTCGCCGCGCTACAGCTGGACCGGCACGGTGCCTTGATCTTGGCGGGCTCCACGAAAGGATCGTTGGATGGATTCGCGAACGCAGGCGCGGATGGAACGGGCGTGGAACGCGCGAGTCGTGGTGCCAGCCACAGGGGTGGAACGAGAGAAAGTGGGTGGAGGCGCGAGGATTGAGGCGAGGATGGCGATGTTTCGAGCAGTCTAGGCACGGGCCACTGCCAGTCACTGCCGATTCGGTTTCAGTGTTCCTTCAGCTCCCCTCTCTTTGGAAAGGGGGCGACGAACGGAGCAAAGGGGCATCGCTGGGAACAAGAAGCTTCTGGGGGCTCCTGGCCTTGGCTAACGGAGCGATCGGACGCTACGAACGGAGCTTTGGAAAGGCAATGATGCGTCCCTATGGCCTTGTGCCACCTAGTTTGGGTGGTTGCCAGACCCCACCGTTCTCATGTCGTCTACATGGTGTTGACCGTCCCAATCAACATCAGCTGGGTGGTGCGGTTCGTGCCGCGACGAGAAGGCACGCAGACGTCGCGCACCTGGGTGGCCTACACAAAGATGGAAGGAGCTGGAGGAGCTGGAAGAACATGATCCTCTCCCAAGAATCATGGAAGTCGATGACGAATTGTTTCTACCAGCATGGGGTGGTCCACTTCCATGTCTGTTGGAGGGAGAGTAGCTGGGGAACCTTCAAGTAAAAACAGATCCTCCAGTCTGTTGATTTCCTCTGGTCAACGGTCTGTCTCTACCCTGGTTTTGACCGACGCCCAGTGTCGAACTGACCTCCTGACCAACTTCCAGTGCGCGGCGCTGCGCAGACTACTGGCTCCCCCATGCAGGTGTTGACGACCTTTTCGTCATGAAGCTGAATGAGACCAAGTGGATATGGACCCATCAGAGAGGCACCAGGTATCTTGGTCACATCGGTCTTGGGAGAGAGACGATCGATCTGTGGACGTGTGGAAAGGACTCATGTCACGCGACGGACGTCGGATGCGGGGGTGACTGGGAGGGGGGGGGCTGTCTACAGTGACAGGTATGGCGCCAGACTTTTTCATGCGCACGATGAAGTGTTAATGAAGAACGATCCAGACACTTGTAGGCGTTTGGGTATGCCATAGCATGTTTATGTTTGTGAACTGTTTCGGCCACATAAGCCCAAACTCGTACTATCCCCTCCCTGTCAAAACTGATGGCAAAACTGATGAGTCATTGATTACTTTCTCTTTTTTGGTCAACATCCACACGCAACAGCGACGCTTTCCTTCCGCTTGGTGAGCTCACCCGTGTCGAGTCCCCACACGTAGCCACCACGCCCCGCCACCGAGAGTCAAGCCACGCACCTGCCCAGCCCTCCAGCGCCATGGAAACCGACCGACTCGGACCCTGCTGAGGTATGAAGACCGTACCACTGCTTTGCAGGTGACCTCGGATGAGAAGCTCGGAATGAGAGACGACTTGGTGAACGCGTAACGTAACGGCTTTCACGGCCCGATCGGCGGAGAGACGGCGGCGCCAAGTAGTGAGACGCGTCGTGGCCAAGGTGAACGAATTTGTGAGAAGCGTGAACGCGGGTGTGTGCGAGAAACTTTGGATGGTTCACCCCTATGGTTCACCATGACAGGGGTGGTATGACAAGAAGGAGACCCCGAAAAAACACGGTCTGTGGATGTTGGATGATGTTTGCTGTTCTTCGCGCTTCATGAAGCCTTCGTTTGGGCCCCAACACACCCCATCGTTCCAATTTGGTGATGGATCTTTCATTTGACCGTTGATCCACCGTCGGGTCGAAGCAAATCAATCGAATCAAAGCACCAATGTTGGTTTGATTTCGTTTCATTTGACATGATTGGTGCTCCTTCAAACCGTTGATCCATTCGGGTCCGGGTCGAATCATGACATGGACCGCCGCCTTCGAAGTCTATCACAGGTAGATGCCTGCAGGTCGGTGTGATTTACGCAGGGTAACCCAAGACAAAAGCAAGTCCTGCTTCACCCACCCTAGGGCTCCAAGTCCAAGTACCTTCGTTTCGAAGGTGGGACTGGGGGTTTAGAGGGTCCAGTCATGTCCAGTCATACCTTCTGAGGAGGCACTTGGAACCCTAGGGCCATCGAACTTCTTCCATGTAGCTTCTGACTTTGCCTCCCGATCGCGACCGTTTGCACGGGGGGCGCCTGACAAACAAATCCCCGCGCCCGCCGCGAAAACGCCAGGATCTATGTGACTGGGTACACCAAAGGATCCTTGGCTGGCGTGAACCTGGGTCCCTCGGCTCTCGGACGGACGGGGGGCCCCGCCGCGAACTCGGGTTTGGTCGCGCGAATTTTCAGGCTTTGGGAGGCGTGGTGGTCGGTGTTTGGGGTCGCGTGGTTGGGGCGGACATCGGGGCGGGTCCTCGCTGGGTTTTGTCCGGTTCACTGCGGGAGGTGGAACGGACGGTGGAAGCCACGGTATAAGGCTGGTTTTTCACGAGCACTCGGTTGGAAATCAGTCAGTCAAAGAGTTGGCCAGCCACATCCACCTTGCAAAGGAATTGTAAGAAAGAAACATGAACAAGTGAAAACATGTGCCATCCCAGCACATCCTACCCAGGAAAACTGCGTTTTCCGAAGCTGTCTGACTGGAACCAACGCTTGGTCGTGGTGTTTGGAACTGAGTGCCGCGCAAAAAGAGGCCCTCCAGATGCCTCACATCATCATCATCATCATCAACAACATCATCCGTTTTTCTCTTTCATAATGCTCTCATGTTGAAGCTAAAGTGGATCCTATCCATTTTTTCAGATCCTCCACATGCTTGCCCCCTCTCCTAGAGCCCTCTCCTCGGGCCTCATCCGTGGTCTCCCGTCCTTCTTCTTCCTCGTGGAACGCGGGCGACGAGGCGAGTCGGATGCCTTCGTGATGAAGCTGGATTCGTCCGGCGACCTTCTGTGGATCGTGCAACGGGGATCCTCCATGCACGACGGTGTGCTGAGCATGGTGCTGAACAGTGGCGCGGAAGGTGGAAGGTGGTGGGATGCGGGGGAATACATGTGGGCTTCAAAGGTGAATAGATGATCCAAGACATTCCTTTAAACATTTTTATGGGCTTTTGTCTGGGTCACCATACGATTTTCAGGTGTTTGAAGGACAGATTGTCCACCAGGAGTGGAGGGAGAATGAGGGAGAGATACTCAACCAGAAACTGAGGTGCCGCTGGGACCTGTGGTGCGGGGCAGTTTGCGGACTAGTGTTTGACCATCAAATGTTTGGCCAGAAGTCTTTCCCTTTGGGCAGATTCTTGTTTGTTTCTATCGACTGTTGTCAGGCTCCTCATGCACATTATGAACTGTTCAGTATAGTCCTTTCCCCCGAATGAGACTGTGTTTTCCTGGATTCATCCTGCAGATGGTCGTCCGACGTATGAATCATGATGGATCGTTCGGTTGCTGAAGAGGCTGCCGTGCTGGAGAGACTCCACAAGGAGACTGGCGTATGTGAACCAGTCCTTTTCACTCTTTTCTGTGGAGTCAGATCTTCTGCAAATTCCCCAATGTGCAGGACTTGGACTCCAGGTAGGGCCTCCAACTACCCCCCAAGTGATTGAAGCGATGACAGCAGTTGTTGGTTTGGTAATGGTGGTGGTGGTGGTGGTGGTGGTGGTCTTGCTTTTGAGCGCCAACACGTTCTATGTCGATGTTGTACTACTTTGAACTTTCAACCCAAACACACACACATTCATTGTATTGCTCTTACATGCTCTTACTGTTGGGTACTCATCGTCCAGAAACTCATCCATTCTTCATCCATTTCGCTCGGCGACACCGACCATCCTCGACCCTCGTCGACCCAGGTGGCACGCTCTTGGTAGCGGGCTTCAGTCAAGGCTCGTTGGATGGATCGGTGAATGCCGGGCTGGATGACTTGCTGGTGATGTCCTATGACGTCAATGGTACCTGGTTGTGGACGCAGCTGGAAGGTGGGGGTAGGACTCTGGGAGAACTTGTGAGAAAAGGGGGTTGGATCGGAGTGAATGGGACAAATCAGCAGCGGCTGTTGATGGACGGAATCCCACCATGGCTCGCTGTTTTCTTGGAGAACAGGTGCTCCTTTTCCATTTGATGTGGTGTTGCACGTCGACCATTTTCGCTGTCAACACACACAGCATGATGCAAGGCTCTACAGAGTCTGATGTGGCCACAGCGCTGGCAGTGACCAGCCAGAACGAGGCCTGACAGGGTTTTGTCTTGTTTGCACAGCTTTTTTACATGTAATTAATCTGTTTGCTGCTTTTGGCCGATCTTTTTCCTCACGTATTCCATCGATTTCCGTTGAACCTCACCACCACCACCACCACCACCACCACCACCACCACCACCACCACCACCACCACCACC